ATCGTTCAGTTACGTATTGTAGCCTCCCGGGGCACGATCGAGCCTCCAGGAGCTCCACCCAGCCTCCTGGAGCACCATCCAGAATCCAGGAAACCACCCAGCCTCCAGGAAACTACCCAGCCTCCGGGAGCACCATCCAGCCTCCAGGCACCTTCCAGCCTCCAGAAGGCTCCATCGAGCCTCCGGGGCACCATCCAGCCTCCTTGGGCACCATCCAGCCTCGGGGCATCATCCAGCCCCTCGGGGCACCATCCAGCCTCCAGGAAACCACACCCCTCAAGGTGCACCCTCGGCCTCCGGGGCACCTCCCAGCTTCAGGAAACCGGGCAGCCTCCAGGAAACCACACAGCCTCCAGGAAACCATGCAGCCTCCAGTAGCACCACCCAGCCTCCGGGAACCCAGCCTCCGGGAGCACTGCCTCCGGGGCACCATCCAGCCTCGGGGCACCATCCAGCCTCCTGGGCACCATCCAGCCTCCCGGGGCATCATCCCGCCTCCGGGGCATCCAGCCTCCAGAAACCACACAGCCTCAAGGTGCACCCTCGGCCTCCCGGGGGCACCTCCCAGCTTCCAGGAAACCAGGCAGCCTGCGGGGCACCTCCCAGCCTCCGGGCGCACCATCGAGCCTCAGGAGCACCACCCAGCCTCAGGAGCACCACCCAGCCTCCAGGAGCACCACCCAGCCTCCAGGAGCACCATCCATTCTCCGCACCATCCAGCTCAGAACACCAGCTAGCCTCCAGGAGCACCACCCAGCCTCAAGGAGCACCATCCAGCCTCCGGGGCTTCACCCAGCCACGAGAGCACCATCTACCCTCCAGGAGCGCCGTCCACCCTCCAGGAACACCACCCAGCGTCCAGGAGCACCACCCAGCCTCTTGGAGCACCATCCAGCCTCCAGGAGCACCATCCAGCCTCCATTGCACCACCCAGCCTCCGGGAGCACTCCAGCCTCCAGGAAAACCATCAGCTCAGGAAAACCCCACAGCCTCTGGGACCACCACTCAGCCTCCAGGAGCACCTCCCAGCCCAGGAGCACCATCCAGCCTCCAGGGGCACCATCAAGCCTCCAGGAGCTCCACCCAGCCTCCTGGAACACCATCCAGAATCCAGGAAACCACCCAGCCTCAGGAAACTACCCAGACTCCGGGCACCACCCAGCCTCGGGGCACCTCCCAGCTTCCAGGAATCCAGGCAGCCTCCAGGAAACCACACAGCCTCCAAAACCACCCAGCCTCCAGGAGCACCACCCAGCCTCCGGGAGCACCCAGCCTCGGGAGCACTACCCAGCCTCTGGGGCACCATCCAGACTCCGGGAGCACCACCCAGCCCCCGGGAGCACCACCAGCCTCTGGGGGCACCATCCAGACTCCTTGGGCACCATCCAGCCTCCGGGGCATCATCCAGCCTCCTGGGGCACCACCCAGCCTCCAGGAAACCCACACAGCCTCAAGGTGCCCCTCGGCCTCAGGCACCTCCCAGCTTCCAGGAAGCCAGGCAGCCTGCGGGCCTCCCAGCCTCGGGGACCCACCCAGCTTCCGGAAGCACCATCCAGCCTCCGGGAGCACCACCCAGCCTCCAGGAAATCACACAGCCTCAAGGGCACCCCCGGCCTCCCGGGGCACCTCCCAGCTTCCAGGAATCAGGCAGCCTCCAGGAAACCACACAGCCTCCAGGAAACCACCCAGCCTCCAGGAGCACCACCCAGCCTCCGGGAGCACCCAGCCTCCGGGGCACCCAGCCTCCGGGAGCACCCAGCCTCCGGGCACTACCCAGCCTCTGGGGCACCATCCAGACTCCGGGGCACCACACAGCCTCTGGGCACCACCCAGACTCCGGGAGCACCCAGCCTCCGGGCACTACCCCAGCCTCTGGGGCACCATCCAGACTCCGGGGCACCACAGCCTCTGGGGCACCACCCAGACTCCGGGAGCACCACCCAGCCCGGGCACCACCCAGCCTCTGGGGCACCATCCAGACTCCTTGGGCACCATCCAGCCTCCGGGGCATCATCCTCCGGGGGCACCACCAGCCTCCAGAAACCAGGCAGCCTGCAGGGGCACCTCCTGCCTCCGGGGACACCACCCAGCTTCCGGGAGCACCTAGCCTCCGGGAGCACAGCCTCCAGAGCACCCAGCCTCAGGAGCACCACCCAGCCTCCAGGGGCACCACGCAGCCTCCAGGAGCACCATCTAGCCTCCGGGGCACCACCCAGCCTCCGGGGGCACCACCCAGCCTCCGGGCACCACCCAGCCTCCAGGGGCACCACGCAGCCTCCGGGAGCACCATCTAGCCTCCAGGGCACCACCCAGCCTCCGGGGCACCACCCAGCCTCCTGGGAGCACCACCCAGCATCCGGGGCACCACCCAGCCTCCGGGCACCACAGCCTCTGGGGCACCACCCAGTCTCAGGGGCACCACCCAGCCTCCCAGGGCACCACGCAGCCTCCGGGGGCACCACCCAGCCTCCGGGAGCACCATCCCAGCCTCCGGGGCACCACCCAGCCTCAGGGGCACCACCCAGCCTCCGGGGCACCACCCAGCCTCTGGGAGCACCACCCAGTCTCCAGGAGCCACCCAGCCTCCAGGGCACCACCCAGCCTCCAGGGGCACCACCCAGCTCGGGGCACCACCCAGCCTCTGGGAGCACCACCCAGTCTCCAGGAGCACCACCCAGCCTCCAGGGCACCACCCAGCCTCCAGGGGCACCACCCAGCCTCCGGGGGCACCACCCAGCCTCTGGGGCACCACCCAGTCTCCAGGGGCACCAGCCTCAGGGGCACCACCCAGCCTCCAGGGGCACCACCCAGCCTCTGGGAGCACCACCCAGTCTCCAGGGCACCACCCAGCCTCCAGGGCACCACACGCAGCCTCGGGAGCACCACCCAGCCTCCGGGGGCACCATCCCTAGCCTCAGGGGCACCACCCAGGGGGCACCACCCAGCCTCCAGCACCCACCCAGCCTCCTGGGAGCCACCCAGTCTCCAGGAGCACCACCCAGCCTCCAGGGGCACCACCCAGCCTCGGGGCACCACCCAGCCTCCAGGGCACCACCCAGCCTCCCGGGAGCACCACCAGCCTCTGGGAGCACCACCCAGCCTCTGGGAGCACCACCCAGTCTCCAGGGCACCACCCAGCCTCCAGGGGCACCACCCAGCCTCCAGGGCACCACCCAGCCTCCGGGGCACCACCCAGCCTCCGGGAGCACCACCCAGCCTCTGGGAGCACCACCCAGTCTCCAGGGGCACCACCCAGCCTCCAGGGGCACCACCCAGCCTCCAGGGCACCACCCAGCCTCAGGGGTAGCACAATATTGTACGTCTTCATGTTTAAATATATAAGATACTGTTGAATTTTTTAGGAGCAGCATGGTAAACAGAGACATTAATCCCCAGAAGAAAAGTTATAAAGCAAATAAAGAGCTGTTATATTTTTTTTATTGTCATTATACTCCGGTTGTTCAAGAACACAGATAGTTTCGTCATAAGTACAGTGTTTCGGTAGTTCAACTCTCAGAAATGCCAGTTAAGGAGACGGCACTCCTTGTCACTTTATTCGAAGTTGCTATACAATCTTTGGGTAAAACTCATCCCTTCTCTAACATTTATATACATATGAAGACTACCTTTGCATTGCTGAGGCAAAAGCAAAAATGTTGGAAGTCAGCGGATTAAAAAAATTCACATTGGATATACAGTGTGTGTATCGACTCAGAAGATATGAAGTTAAAGCAGCATAATCTTTTCCACTACCCGGACATATATAGTGCGTTTTTATTTATTTTTATGAAGCTCCAACCCTCCTACGTCGGATACTAACTGTATTATTTTTAACAGCATTTACTGTAACTAGTGTTACGAACCCTCCACCCAGCACTACAGACCACGCCATCTATTGTCCTGATCTACCTGCCCAGCACCACGACAACGCCATCTAGGGACAGACACGAGTATGACTCGTCTTAGTTACCACTCCGGGGTTTCTCTTCTCCATATCCTGGTTGTTGCGTCACCTCTCAAAGTCTTCTTTGTCAGCCCAATTCGAGAGAAGACTTGGCTCTGGGAAGTGACCACAGGATCATCTATCCTCTAAACCTACGTGCAGTGACTACCTACCGTCTTCTACAGTACTCAGCCTTACTCGTCAGCCATCTCAGCTCCTCACTTAAGTACTTATATTTTGTATTAACTCCCCACGTCCACCTTCAAGATTGCTTTATGTTTATTAATATGTATATACTGTTAATGTTTAGGTTAAGTTTGGTTAAGGGTAATTTATAAGCTGAATATTTTGTTAAAGGATTTATGGTACTTTATTATATACAACAACTCGCATCCTTTGTCTACCCTTTTATAGTCCGATTGTCTTTGTTTTTGTTTTTTGTTACCTGTTGGGATCTGGGTAGACGTATAACTATATTCTAATCCCCAACTCGTAACACTAGCGACAGTACTAACTCTACCTCAGGTATGTTTTGAGGACGACTCCCAGCTTACGTCCGTGACTACCAATAAATACAGCTACTACATCTACAACAATATTATACTTCATCCACTACACCATAACACTACAACAACTATACTATCATCTACGTTACATCCACTACACAATTACACAACAACAACTGCTCTAACTATACTACTTCCTCAACACTTTCATCTATCCTACACCTACTACACTATCATCTACCTACATCCCTATATCCTGATTATTACACTAAATAGGGATAATTACCTAATATCGATAACTTCTATGTATCTTTTAACCTTCTAACTGGTCACAGGCCATCATGCAGTTTATCATATTAGGTATACATGAAATGTTTCAGAAACAAAATTAAACTGACTTAACCTAACTTAATGAATATTACTTAACTCTTATTAATTATTTCTGTACTTTTAAACACAGGATGATAATCATATGATATTATAATATATTCTCAAATGTAAATATCAATATAAGCATCGGTCAAACACTATTAAATTTAAAGGTACTTAAAACAACAGTAAAGACATAAACTATACATATGAGAGGAAAACAAATACCATAGTGATAAGTGAAAGTAATAAATAACTAAATAACCCTGAAACTAATTATATATGTTACGATGTTCTTTGTCTTCTATATTATATTATATATTAAGTTATATGGTTACTGCAGCACATTCTCATTACATAAATTGAAACACACACACACACACACACACCAACACACACACACACACACACACACACACACACACACATATACAATATGTATGTGTTGTTATAATATATTACTGCACTTCAACAACTAAGGTTTTTAAAGGCATATACTAAATTAGTAAATATATTAGGCATCAACAATTAAAATTAAGAGAAATACATAAAGTGGTCTGTGCCCATACACAACAGAAGGTGGAATTTGGGGGTTGTCCCTTGGGTCTCTCCTCCCCCTCCTGAGCCTCAATAGGTAGAACCACCGCTTTAAGGCTCGTCTGAAGTATGTGGGGGGGGGCCTCTTCAGGGCCGACTTGAACATAAAAGTTGGCCCTGAGCACGATCCCAGTTTTATCATAGAGTTGAAAATTGGTCTGGTTATTTTGGCCAGGATGGTGAGGTGAAGATAGTGTAAATCTTATTGTTAGGAATTGTATATTGAGTAGTGGGTGGAGGTGATAGTGGAGTGTAGGTGATAGTGGAGTAGAATGTAGAGTGATAGTGTAGTGCAGTGGTCCTTAAACTGGGGGGGCGGTCAGAGAGAAAAGTCAGGTCAGGAACTGAACGCGTCTTATACACGATTGCTCATCCTCCCACTCTACAAGAACCAAGGTTGCATCAGGGGGGGTGTGGGGGTGATCTAGGATATATGCAGAGGGGACGAGGGCAAAAGTTTAGGAACCACTGGTGTAGTGGATGTAGCGTCGGTGATGGTGTAGTGAATGTGGTGTGGGTAATAGTGTACTGACTGTGCTGTAGGTAATAATGTAGTGGATGTGGTGTAGGTGATAGTGTACTGACTGTGGTGTGAGTAATAATGTAGTGGATGTGGTGTGGGTGATAGTGTACTGACTGTGGTGTGGGTAATAATGTAGTGGATGTGGTGTGAGTAATAATGTAGTGGATGTGGTGTAGGTGATAGTGTACTGACTGTGGTGCAGGTAATAATGTGATGGATGTGGTGTGGTGATAGTGTAGTGGATGTGGTGTAGGTAATAATGTAGTGGATGCACTGTAAGTAATAGCGTAGTGGATGTGGAGTAGGTGATAGTGTAGTGGATGTGGTGTGGGTGATAGTGTAGTGGATGTGGTGTAGGTAATAATGTAGTGGATGTGGTGTGGGTGATAGTGTACTGACTGTGCTGTAGGTAATAATGTAGTGGATGTGGTGTGGGTGATAGTGTACTGACTGTGGTGTGAGTAATAATGTAGTGGATGTGGTGTGGTGATAGTGTACCGACTGTGGTGTGAAAATAATGTAGTGGATGTGGTGTAGGTGATAGCGTACTGACTGTGGTGTAGGTAATAATGTAGTGGATGTGGTGTGGTGATGAGTGTACCGACTGTGGTGTAGGTAATAATGTAGTGGATGTGGTGTGGTGATAGTGTACCGACTGTGGTGTAGGAAATAATGTAGTGGATGTGGTGTAGGTAATAATGTAGTGGATGTGGTGTAGGTGATAGTGTAGTGGATGTAGTATAGGTGATAGTGCAGTTGATGTACTGTAGGTGATAGTGTAGTAGATGTGGTGTAGGTAATAATGTAGTGGATGTGGTGTAGGTGATAGTGAACTGACTATGGTGTAGGTAATAATGTAGTGGATGTAGCGTCGGTGATGGTGTAGTAAAATGTGGTGTAGGTGATAGTGTACTGACTGGTGCAGGAATAATGTAAGTGGATGTGGTGTAGGTGATAGTGTAGTGGATGTGGTGTAGGTAATAATGTAGTGGATGCACTGTAAGTAATAGCGTAGTGGATATGGGTAGGTGGTGTAGTGGATGTGGTGTGGGTGATAGTGTAGTGGATGTGGTGTAGGTAATAATGTAGTGGATGTGGTGTAGGTGATAGTGCAGTTGATGTACTGTGGGTGATAGTGTAGTGGATGTGGTGTAGGTAATAATGTAGTG